ACACACACACACACACACACACACACACACACACACACACACTGAGAGAGAACAGCCATCCTCGCTCTGTCGGCTCTTAAAGGAATACGTCCATAAAATCCTGTTTTCTCCATTCAGACTCTTTCCTGAAGGAAATCAGCTGTTTTTATCACCAACGTTAAAAATAAAGAGATTTCAAAGTAAAAGCTGAATATTTTCGACTCAAAGAAAAAAAAAAGAAAGAGTTAAATGAATAGAGCAGAAACTCTGACCGTTAGCAGGACATTTACTGACAGAACCACCCAGCTTCACCTGAGGGGACCTGAAGCTCCAAACTCAAACAATCATGGTCTGCAGGCGGCTCCACGCCGTCCAAATTCAGTTTCCTGTTGGAACAAACACTGAGCGAGAGGGCGGGAGACACCCTGGACCCCTCTCAAGTCCATCACAGGTCCACACAGGGACACACGAGACAAAAATATAAACAAATCCATGAAAAAGATTATTTCAAATGGATTAAAGGTTCTTCAGGTGTGTCGGACCTTCACACAGCGTCATCAGGAGGAAGAGTTGGAGATAAAACCCACAGCAGATTAGCTGCAGGGTCGGATCTGATTGTGTAACGAGTCTGTCAGCTCAGTTCGTTAAAGCCTTCAGCTGCACTTAATGCTAATTATTTTTATTTCAACACAGATTTTCCTGTCCCCCAACCAGCCGGTCGAGGCAGATGGTCTCCTGTCCTGAGCCTGGTTCTGCTGGAGGTTTCTTCCTGATTAGCAGGGAGTTTTTCCTCTCCACCGTTTGCTCAGGATGGGAGACTGTGATGAAGTGATTCAACACAATCTGCTGCTTTCTTCTTTACATTGTTCTTTTTATGTACAGCTGAGACAACGTATGTTGTGACTTGGCGCTATATAAATAAACTTGAACTTGAACTAGATAATTCAACATGACAAACGTCTGGATTAAAACGTAATCTGACTTTTTATTCTGCAACCAGAACTTTCTGGAAGGAAACAAAGAATCTGATCACATTTAGAGAAATAACCTGAACTGAAGGACAAACAATCAGAACAGAAAGTAAATAAGAAGCTGAAAATAACAAACCTTAGCTAAAAGCTATAATTAGCTAGCCAGTAGATAAAAGCTCAAATCAGCTAAATTGTAAAAGACAAAACACAGATTTGAATAGAATAAAGAATGAAAAAGTAGTTTACTATAAAAAGTATTTTAATTATTTATTGATTTTCTTGGTAATAACTCATTTTATTTATTGTTTGCTAAAAGATCGAATCATTAATGCATTTTTTTTTAGTTTATGTCACAATTTTGGAGCTCAGAGGAGGAAATTGAGCCATTTTCTCCTCTAAAGCACTAAAAGGAAAACAGAAGCCAAGCTGAAACAAAAGGACCTCCTCCCTGTTCAAACATCAGGCCTGAAGCTTCCAGGAATATCTGAGGAGAGACGGAGGCGCACCCTCAGGGGGAGGAGGAGGCAGTAAATCTGATGATGGATGTAATTCACCCTCAAACTTTACACAACATGAACCTGGACCATAAAACATCAGCTGAGGGCAACTTTTTCCTGTAGAAGCTGAGACAGCGCCCCCCTGAGTCGACTGAACATTTTTTCACATGTTTATGAAGGAGCTCTACAGTGGTGGGCAGCGTTAATTCAAAAATTAGCTCCGCAATTTCTAAAGCGCTTACGAAAATATTTAGGTCCGCAACTTCAAATCCGCTTACGCAGTAGAAATTTTAGCAGAAGCTAATTATGAAGTGCATGCTTCAATTTGACACTTTCTAGCTGGCTACAATTCATGTACATTACATGTACAATGCTGCCCACTAGCGGTGAATGAACTGTTGTACAGCTCGTTTTACAACCGCCGAATGCTGTGGGTCTGATTTCCTGACACAGAACTTTGGCTCCTGGGTGTAAAAATTAAAAAGTTGTTGAGGATTGCTAGTTCGGCTGCTTCTTTGTCTTTTTCTTTTGTTTGTTGTAGGATTTTCATTAAAGAAGCATCAATAAAGTAATTTTAAAACTGTTTATTGGAAAACTGAAGCGATGCATTCTGGGCACATGATGGACTGACGGGACACGAAAGCACGGGGAACAGGAAACTAGTATCTTCCCTTCAAAATAAGAGCTTGGATTTTAAAGTTTATTGGATTCCAGTTCACCTGAAACTCATCAGACTGAAGAAGTCTCTTGGAGGAAAGACGAAACGTTTCATTAGAGAAGAACCATCCAGAGGACCTACTGATTTTTTATTTTTTTTAAAACCTGGATTAGGACGTTTTCATGTAGTTGCTCCAGTTGACCACTAGATGTCTGTCTTCACCAGCATAACATCTTTAAAG